GCTTTACCGCCAGATAAGGTGCTGAGGTGCTGGCAGTGGAGTGAATTCACATATACATAGAGAAAAATCAAGCAAACAGCTCAGACAGCTTCTCTCTGCTGGGCAATTTAACACAGAAGGATCTGCTGAATTTTTAACTGGGTTTTGCTCACAAATCAGCAAAAGGAGATGCATGGCCTCTTTTAAAATGAGGTGTGTGGCAGCAGTTCCCCTTCAAATGATCTTTTAATGTTTTCTTTGACACTGGACGAAACATAAATTTCAGGAAATAGAAAAAATAACTATTTTAAAGCATAGTTTCTTGTTTTTTCAATTCATTGAGTATCCACACAAGCTGCTAAAGCTCTCATGCCTAAACTTCCTTCTAACCTTACTCTGAAATGACTGATTTACTACTAAATTGAGGTTGGACTCCAGCCTATCTTGGGAAAGTGAGTTTGCTTCATACAAGTGACCATTTCTAAGAAACTGCTAACTTTGACTTACTCTTACAGTTTTTATATAATTTCCTGTATGCAGATCTCTTTTTCCAAATATCAAAAAAAGGATGAAATTGTCTTTTTGTTCTTAAAAGTGAAAGAAACTATATTAAAATTGTCAGCTTTCATTTTAAGAGTGCTTGGCTGTGACCAGGACTCTTTGTATCTGTTTTCCCAGTATTTTTTTTCAACTTTCTACTAGAAGTGTTGAAAGGCTGGCATCACCTTAAACCTGCCAGAAAACTTTGTATACTTACTTGTACATTTTAGAATTCACTTCATGGCTTACTTTTTTTGTGAGGTGTGTGGTGAGGAGAGTGTTCCTTTTCCCTATGATGGAGGAAGTTTAAACTGCATATTTAAAACTGCATAATAGCATTCAGGGAGGGGGGCAAGGGGCAGGGGGAGAAAAAGTTCCACATTGGAATCAAGGAAGCACTTTATTGTGGAAAAATTTCTTGAGGTGCTAATAATGGCAGAGAACCTTCAGCTGGGTTTTGTTTGAGCAGGGATTAGAGCTCAGGAAGAGTGATGTGTAATTCTGTGGGTCCCACTAGGCAACTTCTGGATTATGAAGCTTGTCCTCAAGGGGTTGGTTTATTTGAGATTAATGACTCATAAACCTGTGGATCGGCTTTAGTGTTTTGGTTTTGGTTTTTTGGGGTTTTTTTTGTGAACCAATGTTGTTTGATCCTGAAAAATTAAAGGGAATGCTTCAAGTATCCTCCCACATTCTAGAAATCAAAAAAATTATTGAATCACTTAAAGAGGGACTGGAAAGATAAGTGCTGTGACTATATTGCAAATATAACTGTTCTGCGTGTCTTCCTGCACCGACTGTAAAATGACCCTATTGATAACTGCAACCCACATAATGTGGATCAGGGATGGATAAATCACATTGTTTTCTGACAGTTTATCTTCAAGTGATCATTTTTTTTATCCCTGTTTACATGTTTGCTTTTCCCAGACACTGACAAAAAAAGTGGTCTTGATTTCAAAACACATGAGTAGGGTCTGAGGCAAAAGGACATGCTGCTATTGTCCTTCACCTCAGTTGTCACTCTACAAAGGATGTTTCTGTTCCTCTTGCTTTTTTTCTTGCATAAACACACCTCCTCACCAGCACCACTATTCTCCTGGCCTCTCCTGGCACTGCGTTCATTCTTACCTAATTAAAACTCTTCACATACCCAGGTGGTGAAAGAGTCCATCTTTACCCAGCAGCTCAATAAATCATCAAGTAGACTTCAATTTACATATAAAATAGCATGAAAGATGATAAGAGACTGCAGTGATCTTGTTCGATACAAGTCATAAGGCTTCTTCTACATAAATAAAAACAAAGAAGTTAGCAAAAGATTTTGGTATTCCTAACAGACAGGCATTCAATGGAAGCTTGCATAGTCATCCAGAGGTTCTGGAAGTTGAATGCAAGATGAAAGATGTTTCAGAAAATAAAATGTAATGCTGGGCTTTGTATTCAGCAGGGAAAATCAATGACAGGTGAGGGAAGTGAAAGCTTTGGGGATTTGACCTGACCTGAACTTCTTTGATTTGTATGTGACATGGTTTGAGTAACTTCAGTTTCAGAAGACCTAATTTGCACTACACATATAGCAGATAAGCATCAGGTCTAGTGTGGGTGCAAATGTGGAATCCATACCAGATCATCCATGTAAGGAGGAAAGCTCTGGTACATGAAAACTATTTTGAAAGAAATGTTCCTTAAGGAGGACAGTATCTGACAGAGTACTTCTTATAGATTATACCACCTTTTCTACTACACGTGTGGACACATTGTACCTTCAATAAGCAGCTGCTGCAGTTTTTTCAGGCAGAAATATTAGCCTAAGCTTGCAAGGGACTAACATGGTGCTATGTCAAATGATGCCTATAAAATGGAAACTACTTATTCAGAATTCTGGACAGAATTTTCATGTTCTCAAGTTTCTACCCAAGGTCCAGCTGCTAAAATTGTATAAAAACTTCAAAAGTCAAGTTTAAAAAGTACTGTACTTACTGTACTGTCCTTTTTTAATGTAACGTTATAAAGTATGGGCTGCTTTTACCTAATGCAGTGAGGTCTATACAAAAGGACAAGAGCATCCACAAAACAAGACTGCAGCAAATAGTAGGGCAGAAAGATTACTGATCCCACATCTCCATCAAGACATCAGATTAAATTCCTGCTTTGAGCTTTAAAATTTTGGGTGACAGAAGAGAGGCAGGAGGCTGGACATCTCTTGCATGTATGTTTTGTTCATATAAACTGCTTCCTCCTTGACCTGCCATTTTTTTTTTTTGAGTTTTTAATCTGGGTTTTTGGCAGGAAAATTATGATATTTGTAGCTCCATAATAAAATTTCACACATAATGTGCCACAAAAACATAAACTAGTTTTATTAGTGTTTTAGTTTCATGTCCAATAATGATGATGTAAACCTTCACATAGATCTGAGTGGACCACCATGGATTTGAAATGCTGCCTTTAGTTTCCTGGAGACTGAGAGGCATTTATTTCTGTACTGGTTAGATGCATTGTTCAGCCTGAAGGTTTTCTTTAATTCCATATGGATGTATTTGGATATTGTTATTTTAATTTTTGAAGAAAGTGGGTCTTCTGAAGAATAAGGTCCAGTCAGTTTTCAAGTACTAGGTTGGTAAGATGGTGCAATGCATCTTACTTTGAGTCAGAGCTTTAAGGAAAGTGAAATGCCTTTCACAAAGGTAGTCCAGTTAAAAAAAAAAAATCCCTTGGTGCTATGTCTTTTAGCAAGGAGTACCTAAAGGGTCATGGTAACCATGCATAAATCATCTCAGATGCAAATCTGAATGCATGTACCTGGTTAAACATAATGTTACTAACATAATTTTTTACAAAACACTACCACAAGAGAAATATATATGCCATTTGGGTTACAGAATATGTTAGGTATTTGACTAAACAAAAATATCGTGGAATATATGGTCTTCTAAGTGTGCTGATTTGCCATTGTCTGCGTGTGTGATTTTCTTCATCCATCTCCCAAGAGATGCTGCTCTGGTTCTGATCTCAGCCCTGTAACCATAGGTGCTCTGGGCACAAAGTTCATCCCAAAAGAAGTTTGGAATTTCTGTCAAACTGGATTGGATGGAACTTCGTTTGCAAATTAGGACTTTGGGTTACTCTTTCGTGCCTTTCAAACACGAATTTGAAAATGATAAAATCTCAAATCATGATGGGGATATACATTTTAATTTTATAAGGCAATAAGTAAACTTCAAAGGAAAGGGCTTCATCTGTCTTTTATCTATCTCATGTACCTCTTTTATCCTTTCCTACCATTAACAAAGACCGGTTTAGCAGATACTTCTTCTATCATCTGGTTAAGCAGAGAGAAGCATTTCTTTTTCAAGGTCTTTGAGAAGTTAAGAAGTTCGGAATTAAGATTAATTGGCCCATCCAGCTACAGTAAAGAAGTTAAGAAACAGTAAGAGACGGACTTGTTTATGGAGGGAAACAAAACATCTTGGAAAACATTAGTACACCTGAATTAGCACAAACACTAAACAGGATTCTGTGTTTTGTTTGAGCAAGAAACACCATGTTTAAAAACAGGATAGTGAATTGTGGTTGAAAATTAAGGACAATACTTCCATCCCTTCTGCTGTACAGGCTTGCACATGGTCCGTCTTTCCTCCTGCCTGTGTTGGCATGGCAGTATGAGTGGGTGTAACAGCACGGAGAGGATGTGAGTGGGATTGATCTGGCACACTATGCATGCGAGGCACACACAACTGCTGCTGTTTTATTTCGCCACTACACCAACAGAAACGGCCCTTCTATAGGCACTTCTGGCGAAGGATTTTGCATTCAGCGGTGCAGCATGCATTAGTACAAACCGAATGCATACCATGACCTGCAGATACCTGTTAAGAGCAGCATTGCAGCACAGCAATCTTATTTCTCTACAGCTTCTTTTAGTTTGCCGGTGGGAAGGGAAGCTATGTGTTGGGTTTTTTATTATTTTTGCAGTCATGTTCGAGCATTTGTCAGCCTCTTTCCCATCGTTGGTTTGTCTTGTTCATTCTCTGCCCCCAACACCCTCCTCCCCAAATTCACGGTGAGAGAGAGAATTCCTGAACTCCGGCGGTTCGGGAGCTGTCGGGAATGTTGCGGCATGGCGGGCCGCCTCGCTGCAGGCTGAGCATCCCTCCCCTCCGGATCGGGATGCGGTTTCTTCATCCGTGTAGTTGTCCCCCGCGGAGCCGGGTCCTCCTGCTCCAGGGGCTCGGGGAACTCCCGGTGCCTCTGCCGGGAACTCGCTAGAATCCCACCGTCTTGGGTGGGCCTCAGGGGTCGCTCCCTGTGGGAAGGGATCGCCCGGGGTTCGGAGGGGACGGGCAGGATCCGAGGGCGGTGCGACCCCCACCCGGGGCGGTCTCAGCCCCGCCCTGGTCCCGCCCCGCCGCCCCACCGAGCTGGGGAACCGCAGGGAGGGGGAAGAGGAGGAGGGAGAGGGAGGGAGAGAGGGAGGGAAGGAAGGAAATAAGTAAGGAAGGAGGGAAAGAGGGAGGGAGGTGAGGTGTTGTCGCCGTTGGCTCACTGCTCCGCGCTCCGCAGCCGGTGCGGAGGAGGGGACAGCCCCTGTCAGGCGTCCCGGCATGCTGAAAGTCACCATGCCCTCCTCATCCTCATCCTCCTCGTCCTCCTCGTCCTCGTCCTCCGGCTCCTCGGCCGGCGGCCGCCCTGGCTCCGCCGCGCCCGACTACTGGATCGATGGCTCCAACAAGGACACCCTGGCTCACTATTTCGAGCTGGAGTCCGAGCTGGGACGGTGAGGCGTCGCCGGGGGGAGCGGGGATGACGGGGGTGGGTCTCGCTCCCCGTCGCTATGGCGAGAGCGGCAAAACTTTGGTTTGCGTGAGCTGCAGCGCAGGAGCAAGCGGGATTTCGCGGCGTGTGGGCTTTCGAAGAAAAACTGCAGCCCTCCTCCCACTCCCGGGAGCCAAGCCGTGCAAATTCTCCGAAGCAGGGAGTGATTTATAGGTCAAGGCATGGGTCCGTCTGGGTGGACGCTGAGCGGAGTGGGGAGCTTTTCGTTAGTCAGGGTATCTGTGTGGGCTGGCAGCATCCAGTCAGCGCACGGTGTGGGATGGAGAGTGGGCATCACTTGGAGAGCACCGAAACGCCACCTTATTCACAGCATCCCTTCATCCCAAACCTGCTGTCGTTCTATCGCCATTATCAGCACCGGTAGACCCTGCGCTGACAAAACTCCTACCCAAAACAGGAGTCCCTGGATAGGCCTCTGCCAGCAGAGCCCTCCCTTTGGAGCACAGTGCAGGTGAATGAGCTGGTACATCTTCATTCATTAATTTTACACTACTGCCCTAGTGATGGTCCTGCCCAGCAACTTAAAGGTCCCAAATCTTCATATTTTTTTAAAAACCGAAGTCTGGTGTAAAATGCTGTAGTTAGTGTGCAATTTTTGCCCTCTAACTGCATGTTGAATTTGTGGATAGAAAATAATGTGTGAAAAGGGAAAATTACCGCTATTTTTTAAGGGTTCATAGTACTTGACTTAAATCTCCAGGTCAGTAGGTAGCAAATAGCAATTGTTAATTTTGCTGATTGTTAATTTTGCCAATTCAATATTAAGATCCTGAATTACTATGGGAAACTTGCAGATAATAACATGGTTGCCTTGGTATAATATTTTTTCAGAAAGGCATGCAATGAAAGTTATTCCTACAGAGCATATGTGTGCTTGCTGTACTGCATCTAATAGGGGCAGGAAAGGTGGTAGAAATACAATGTAATATCGTTCTTGGCTTGCTGGCCAGGTCTTAAGCACCTGCTGCTTGCTGCTACTTTTTTTTTATGCTGTTGCTACTATTCCCATTTAAATAGGTATAGTTTTATGTTTGCTTACCACATTTATACTTGACTTCACTGTACACCTATGCAGAAGCATTAAAATGTAAAACAGGAAATCTAAAGCCAGTACTCGGTTTGGTGTCCAGAATTGATTAAAAAAAAAAAAAAAATAAAAGGAAAAAAGTATGCTACTGACTTACAGCAGTTGATACCACTCTGTCACCTGGTTTAGTATTGTTCTGTGTGGTCTGTCTAGAATTCTCTCACCATATGTGATAGTGACAGTGGGCTTTGCCTAAGAGTAATCTGTATTGGTGATACATCGTGGGTTTATTGTGTAGCTTAGGAAGGGGTTTTTAAATGTGAACTCTTCAGTCTGAGGAAGGAAGAATGAATGCTTATAAAAGTATTACAGTAAGGCTGAGGTGCAGTGGATTTTTCTACTTTGCAAGGTAAGACAGATGCTGAAACACTTAACAAAAGGCTTGTATGTAGAAGATAACCACACCCAACTGGTGTAGGGATGTGAGCCACTAGATCTGCACTGCTGCTGGATAGAACTAGGAAATAAGATTTAGAACAAAAGCAGAGAGAATACAGGAGATAACCAGCACCTTAATCAAAGATTAAGAGGTAGGGAAGGGAGAGAGAAGAACTTGGAGTGGTATATGATCTGAGGGAAGATTGCTCTAACAAGTTTGGCAGTGCGCTCTCAGTCCTTAGGTCCCAAGGCTGGCTTTGAGATCTTTTCAGAGCCAGCATCCAGAGTGCTGATGATTATCTCAGACCCCCTCTGACAAGTGTACATTGGCAAATCTATAAGGGAGGTTCCACAATCCCTCTTGGTTCCTAAGTGTAATATAAAAGTGTGTTGTTTTCTCTTGGTAACCCTGTATCTAACCTTCTAGTTTTGGAGATAATTTCAATTGTATACACAAAAAAAATTTCCTTGCTTAGGCTAGTGGTGGTGAAAGTATATCAGGTGAGGCTGAAATTATGGGTATGTGATCCCTTTAGGCACAGTAAATAAAAATACTAAAATACTAAAATAACCAGCAGGAAACACTGTCCTACAGTATCTTTAACAAATACAGGATTGAAAGATATCTTTCGTCTCACTGCAAAGACCTGCATTTGGACACCTGTGGCCAAGCATGGGAATTCCCCTTTGGAAGGAGTGCCCTTTGTGCAAAGCGTACCTGGCAGATCCCTAAACCACAGTATTCAGTAATTCTTGCTTGCATGACCAACTAAGGAGTAGTGGAAGAAGAGGTGGAAGATCCTGCTAGGAAAAATAATAAATGCCTGAAAGCTTGCGTAGGAGTAAACTGTTATCTTTAAGCAGTGGAGTTTCACAGGAATTAGTTCAGGTGTCTGTGCTGCTCAATATACTCCATAAATGAAGGGGTTGAACAGTGATATTTGCCGGTCTTTGGAAATTATCAAGGGTTTAAAAGATAGCACTGCCTACGAAGAATTGCAGAAAGACCTTATTGGACTGTTAGGGCATTTAAATGGTGGATGAAATTCAATTTAGATAAATAAAGAGGCTGTGGAGGAGAAACCATTTCATTGTTTTCTCTCACTAGTAAATCGTATTGAGATGTTAATACAGACATATCTGGAGACATGTGTCATGGATGGAACACTTTGTTAAAAGAGCTTGATCACTTGTTTTATTTCTTTTAATGCAAGCTCTGAGGGGTGTCTGATAAAAAATGGATTATCAAGTCAAAAATGAGTGACAGGAGGTAAGGCTATGTCAGCACAGTGTGTCTCTAAGTGGTGGAAGTCCTAGCCACTGGACACTATGGATGCTAAAAAGCTTATGTGGACTTAATGGGCAACTAGGCAAGTTTACATGCAGGAAATCCACTAAGATTGATCAAACATGAAGATACTACTGAACTGTAAGCTGTTGAGTGTTATGAGGGTATTCTTTGACAGTGATGACAGGGGTTTGCTCTATTTCTACATTCTTCTTGAGGTATCTGTGTTTGGCCACTGTCAGAGACAGTACTCTGGGCTAGACCAGCTTTTATTCTCATTCTTTTATTCTGTTTTTAGGTTCTACTAATGCCTGGCTAGTTCGTCTTCATTTTAGTCCATTTCTTATAAGGGTTTTTGTGTATAACTGGAGTTCAAAATGCTGTAAAGTTGAAATTTTGTGTTTTGTTTTACAAAAAATCTTTGTTTGACAAGTTGCAGCATTGGTCTATTGTAGAGTTTGGAATTTTGTTCTGTGTGTATTTCATCTAAAAGCTTATTTTCCACACTTCCTTGGAAAATTTTGTATTCTATACTTGTATTTTCTTTAAAAACTAAACCCTTTTGCTAGTCTTGCGTTACCCATGATGTATCTTCTTGTTCAGAGTTTCCGAATTCAGGATTAGTCTAAATACAGTATTTGAGTGAAGAGGAAGTTCAGTTTTGATCTTTTTGATACTCAGTAATATGGCAAAAAAAGAAAAAATTCTCCTTGTTGGGATTTTAGGTGTGGAATTTTACTTAGCATGCACCCTCTTTGCCTAACTAACTACATAAGTATTTGACTATTGCAGATCTGGTACATGGCCAAAGGCAAATGAAAGTATTTCCAGTCAAATCCTTAGGGCTTTCTTTAAATATCGAAGGTTAAGCTAATAACAATTAAAAAGAAACTGAAACAAAAACCTAACAGGGAAATCGCAGGCACTTTTCTTCTTGTAAGAATGGTAAATCTTCCAAGGTTACCTTTTCCTGCATGGGCAGTGTTTCAACTGTGTGATCCTTGTTGAAGACCTGAAAGGTGCTCAGTACTTAACAACTTAACCTTGAACTGACAGTGTGAGCTGAATCATAGGTGGTTTATGTCCTTGAGTTTTTAGCATAGAGAGAGTTTAAATTCAATGTGTGGCTTGAACTCAAGATTTCAGTGTGCAGAGTGACGTCTTACTCTGCCAATCCTGTTTATCAGAGCTGTCATCCTGGCATCTACTTTTGTAATGGCAGTAGTAGATGAAATCAGCTAACTCTTTGTTAGCTGATTTAAACTAGCAAAGCTAAAACTTGGTTGTTAAGCTGATAAAAGCATTATAGAAATGGATTGGATTTGCACTTGATGCTTTGAAGTTCAAACAGTTTTTGCTTTGAAAGCATACCAACTCTTTTCCCCTCCATTCCTTCATTTAAAAAAAATAAAGGTTTCTTTTTCTGTCCATCTCAAGAGTCATTTGTTTTATAGACTGTTTGCCGTGTTTATTTTGAAAATCACTTGCTCATATTGCTTTGGGGTACATTTAAAGCACGTCTGTCCTGCCTTCAATTGCACTTGTGCTTACTTGCTTGTGACTTTTTGCACTGGACTTTCCAAAGTGATGCAAGCATGCAACTGACAGTACATGGTGCTGGTGCTTAGCTGGATCAGGATGAGAATTATCTTTGAGCAGAAACTGCCTATGTGGATTTGCCTGTCCTCCAAGTGATGTTCTGCCAGGAACGGCAACTTGCTTGCTACCTTCACACCTTCAGGTAAGCAGCAAGCATTTTCATTTAAGCAGTTCCGGCCCATAGGGAAGGTTGTTGGAGAGGTGTGTCTGAGGCCTCATTTGGGAATGTTGTGGTGGGTACTTTGGACTTTGCTTTGAGGTAGGAAAATAGGAGATAGAGAGGGCCTTTTGGTGCTGGTAAAGGTGTCAGATGGATGGGAAGAGTGGTGACCTTCATGCATGGCACCAGCTGGCATAGCCTAGTTGAAGATTTTCACTTCCTTTTCATCTGGAAGGGATTCTCTCTACTTCATCTTTCCGCTTGAAAAATGTCCTTAGCATTTGACTGCAGACTCTTCTATGGTGAACCTGTGCTTTGCTCCTTTTACTGAAGCAGTGCTGTTGTGGAAAAGACAATTCGATGTTAAATTGTCCAGAAAGAGGATGTCAGATTTTTGTTAACCAAGGCACTCCTCAAAGAAGGGGGGAAGTCAGTCCCTGTCAAAATGCATGTTGATCTATCGAGAGTCATAAATGAGAATTAGTATCAAGCAGTCAATACTTTCTGTGGAAGCTTCTTAACCCAGTGTTCTGGATGAAATTCCTCACCTAGGTACCAGAAATGAGAATTTGCAGTGAATAGCTCAGGTTTTGACAATTAAAGTTCTTTGCTCAGTACAGGGAGCAGGTTTTTTTCAGTTTTGTCTGGTTCATTTCAACAACTGATTGACTTAGAATTAAAAAACTGTGTTGAAAAAATCAAGAAAATAAAATTTACTCTACCATTCTGTAAATAAAAATCATTTGAGAGTAGACATACCATTTCAAAGGGTCTCTAATCATGGAGAGGAAATGGGCTATTAGACTTTTTGAACCTTGCTATGGGAGATTTTTATTGACTCTGTTGTCCAAATGCCTGTCTTAGGCACTAAGTTACTTGTCTAAACATTATCTCTCTATGCATGCTTATTAGAAAGAAAAGTGGAAGGCTTTTTTTGAG